GGAAAGGATTTAATTGGAAGAAATCCTACTTTTTAGAAGTAAATTGAAGAGATCAGAGACTTGAGGATCAACTTGTGCAGAATCCAAAAGTCAGGAACCAAATCTGCTATTTTACCATTGAAGAAATTGCAAAAAGAGACCAGAAACCCGACACGGGTGTAGTGTCTACGCATAAGCGGGGTGTCGACACCATACATTAAACGTCCAGAATCAGATTCTGTTTCCTACTCTGTGTCAACACGTAATCCGAAGTGTCAGCACCACGCGATCAGCATCCAAAATTCAATTTTTTATTTCTGTTCCAAGTCCTACTTCTATTTCAATTAGGGTTTCTAAAATCCTATAAATACCCATCTAAATTCAGAATTAAGAGAGTTTTGGGAGACTTGTGGCAGCCCTTTTTTGGGCATTCTTGGAGGTCAAGATAGAGGATTCAACAATAAGAGATGAAAGATTGCAATTTTCTCAAATTGGGTTTTATTCTTCCTTGTTCATAACTATACGTGTAAATTTTATTATTTTTATCATGAACTGATTTATTCTACTAAGACTACGATGTAGCCTAATCAATTCAATATGGATTTTGTGATTTTATGTTTTCAATTAAAGTTATTTGCATGAGGAGTTTATATTATTGAACTTAATGCATTGAAAGTCTGATCACATTTCAATTGATTTAGTGATTTATGCATGAACTTGAGAAAGAATTGTGTAAATTAGACTAATAATAATATAAACCATGTGCTAGACTATGAGACCGAGACGTAATTAGCTCACATGTGGTAGTGGAGGAAGAGAAGAGAGTTAGTAGCTCCTCCTTCTTAAGCTAGAAGTTTCCATAGAATTTAATGCTCATTAGTTTGTTTAAAATTACATAGAGATATGATTAATTTAATAAACAAGTGAAGGATTAGCTTGACTTGAGAAAGCTGATTAATTAATTTAGGGAAATCCGTCATCACATTCAATAACATTCAACAAATTAGCATATTAATCTAAAATTTATATTGATTGATTATGGTGAAACCAATGCCTTAGTACCTCATATCTTGGTTAGGTTATTTGTTATTTTCTTTTTATTATTTTTAATTAAAGTTTCTTCCCATTTGATTGTTCAAATAAATTTAGATTAATTATTTTGGTACTTAATTAAATACAATCATCGTGGGTTCGACATTCTACCTGGATCACGTGACCCACATTACCTTCCACGTCTGCTCCATATTTTCTACGACCAATTTCTCCACAACGTATTGCCGGAAAAAACAAAAATCCAAATACCCTTTTTTT